AACAACAACAACAACTCTCCCATTTTAGCCCGAATTTAACTTCGTGTTCTGACTCTAAGCCAGCTTAGGTCTAGGCTCCCACTTGCGCTCAGCCTGGTGGCCCAGACTATTTTCTTCCTGCTTGTTCATGTAGGGTGTTCAGCCCTAGCGCGGGTGCTGTACCAGGTCTGTTCCGGTTTTCCCTGCACCCGCCTGGGCCAGGAGTTAGGCCTGGGATGAGGCTACTGGGGGGGGACCCCACACCTGCACCCTCACATAGATCTCTCTTTTTAAAAAATACCATATTGCCGGGCCTGGCGGCAGATGCCTGTAATTTCACATGGGGGGACACTAATGCAGGAAGATCACCATGAGTTTGAGGCCAAGCGACACAGTGGGACCCTGTCTCGAAAAACTAAAGGAGCCAGATGTGGTGGTATACACCTATCATCCCAGTGCTTAGAAGGCTGAGGCAGGAGGATCCTATGAGTTCCAGGCCAGCCTAGACTACACAGGGAGACCCTCTCTCACAACACCAAAACAACAAAACCAAAAAAGCTGGAAGAAAAAAAACAAAAAACACCCAACCAAACAAGAAAACCTCACCATATTGTTTATTAACCAACAACGATTCTGGGGGGCAGTATACGGAGCACAACAGGAACCTCAGAGAAAACCAGAAACGCCATCCATCCTGGGGAAAGCAGAAGCACATTGATAAGTAGTTTCTTTTTTAGCTCCTGCGGAAACTCTGTCCAGCGTCCCCCAGGCCCAAGGCCAGATATCGCAAACACAGGTTAACAAGCAGGCAGGCAGACAGACACACAGAATAATTATACTAAAGCAGAGTGCTCTTTGAGATGTATGAGCTATGCTGGATTATAATTCTTTTTTTTAGTTTTATAGCTATAAATAGATGAGTTGGTTAGAATTCTTCCATGGGGGGGATTAGCACTTTTTTCTAGTACCTGGTAGGCATTCAGTAAGTATTGTTTTCTTAGGGCCTCATTATGTAGCCCAGGCAGGCCTTAAACTCACAGAGATCCTCCTGCCTCAGCCTCCCAAGGAGTACACCAGCACACCTGGCTCCCCTGAGATCCCTCTCTTCTTTAACCCTGATGCTGACCGGTCCTTGGCTTGTTGCCCCGGCCTCTTGGCTGCCTGCCCTCCTCACCCCCAACCCTCTCCTCTTCTCTTCCCTGCCCCTCAGATCCCCCGGCTCAGCGGCTAGAGGACACCTCTGCCCAGGACTTCCGGCAGCTGCTGGAGCTGAACCTGCTGGGCTCCTACACCCTGAGCAAGGTGAGGTGGCGCTTGGCCCTGGCGCGGCGCTGCGAGGCTCGCTTCTTCCCAGAGCCTGGGTCTTCCCTTACTTGCTCTCTCTCGTCCCAGAGGCCCTGTTTCTCATTGACGCTGAGCAGTGCAAAGCTCTGTGTCCCAGCCACAGCCCAGTGTGCGACGCAGCCCAGCCTGCTCAGGAACTTCCATTTCTTGTTGTTGATTTCAAGGCAGGGTCTCACTGTGTAGCCCTGGCCGATCTCCGTGTCAATCCTCCTGCTTCAGCCTCCTGGGTGCTGGGATTACAGGAGTGTGCTACCTTCTTTGGCTAGGGTTGTTTTGGTTTTTTATTTCTAAAAGTATTTTTGGCTAGGGTTTTCTTTTTTTCTTTTTTGGCGGAACCAGGGATTAAACTCAGGCCCTTGCACTTGCCAGGCAAGCACTTATTCTCCTGAGCTATCTCTCTGGCCCCTAGGATTTTCTGTGCTTTTTTTTGTTTTGTTTTAATCTTTTTTTTTTTTTTTTCCTTTGGAACCGAGGATTGAGCTCAGGCCTTTGGGCTTGCCAGGCAATTTTTAATCTTTTTGAGACAAGGTCTCACTATGAAGTTCAGGCTGACCTCAGACTCACAGCGATCCTCCTGCCTCAGCCTCCAGGGTGCTGGGATTCCCTGCGCACACCAGCATGCCTGGCATGGCTGGGATTTTCTAAAGGGTGAGTTTGTGTGGCCTTTTGGATTGGGAAGCGTGTCAGAAAAGCTCTGTGAGGGGCGCCTTTGAGTCAAGCTCAAAGGAGGTGGGGGGAAGCTTGCTTCTGGCAGAGGAGCAGCTCGTGCTGAGGCCTTGGGGGGCGGGGTGCCTGCCGGGGTGCGGGAGCGAGGACGAGAGGGCCCGCCAGAGGTCGGATGCCCCAGGAGCCACGAGCTCTGGGTGGGCAGCTGGCGCCCTCAGGCGGCCACAAGTGGAATGGCCTGTAACGTGACAGTGCGGTGACATGGGCTCAGCCTCTAGAGAGGAGTCAGGTAATGGATCGGCTTTAATGAAGTCGGCAGGGCTGCTTGTGACCCTCCTGTGCGGGGCAGGCAGGACCTTGGCTTCAATACTGCGGGGCAAGGGTGGAGAGACAGGATTCGGGACTTGGGACTCCGCCTCTCAAGGAGAACTAGCCTGGGCAGGCCCCTCTGAGCTCCATCGGAACCGCTGCGAAATTCTTTTTCTTTTTCTTTCTTTTCTTTTTCTTTCTTTCCTTCTTTTCTTTTCTTTCTTTTTCTTTTCTATTTGACACAAGACCTTTGAGACAAGTCTTGTTACCTAGTCCAGGCTGGCCTTGACCTAGAGATCCTCCTGCTTCAGCCTCCCAAATGCAGGGATTATTGGTGTGTACCACCATGTCCAGCAAAGGAGAAGGAAGGAAGGAAGGAAGGAAAGAAAGATAGATAGATAGATAGATAGATAGATAGATAGGGCCGGGGAGATAGCTCAGCAGTCTAAGCGCCTGCCTGGCAAGTGCAAGGACTCAGGTTTGATCCCCGGTACCCCATGCTGTACTGGCCCTGAGGCTGGGCGTGACACATGCCTGTAACCCCAGTACCGGGGAGGCTGAGACGGGAGGATCACTGCAAGTCTGAGCTGTATAGTGAGACCCTGTACTAAATAAAGATTTAAAAAAATGAAAGATTATGATACCTATACACCCATCATTTGTTATCCAACAGTTACACACACACACACACACACACACACACACACACACACACACACAGCCAACCCTCCATATCTGTAGGTTCCACATCTGTGAATTCAATCCACTGTGGACTGAAAGTGTAGCAGAAAGGGAGCTGAGCCAGTGGCTCAGTACTGTATAATCCTAGCACTCTGGGAGGCCCAGGCAGGGGGATTACAACTTCCAGCTCAGCCTGGGGAGTTTAGCGACTTAGCATGACACTATCTCAAAATAAAAGAATTTTTTACGAAGTGGCCAGGGATGCAGCTCGGTGTGAAGGCCCTGGGGTCAATCTCTAGGACGGTCACACTTGTTTCAGTGAGAAGCGGTGGCTTTGAGGCTTCCCGTGCCCTGGCCCCGCTCCTTGGTTCTTGCTGTTCCCTCTGCCTGGGTGAGTTCTCCCCGCGTCCCTCCCACCACGCAACACTCTGTGTCTTTGTTCCAACATCTCCTTGCCAAAGGGCTTTTGGAAATGTACCCAGCCCAGCCCGCTCCCTGATGACACTCGGTCCTGATGACACTCGGGCCCATTCCTGATACACTGGCTTCCTGTGTGCCCTGCCTCCACCCACACAGGAGCCTCCCTATGTGGTGTCCCTGGCCTTTGCCACGTTGGCTTGCACATAGTAGGTGCTCAGTAAATGTTTGCTGATGGACAGTGATAGTGGGGAGAGTTGTATTCCATGTTTCTCAGAAATACCTTTGTCAGGGCCCCTGATGGGATGGGGGAGAAACTGAGGCTCTGGAGAGTCAGGTTTTGGGGGAACAAGAGGGTGAGTTTTGTTTGGAAGACTATTTTTGTCTCTTTTTGTTTGTTTGTATTTTAGGGAAGGGTCTACAAGGTGTTCAGGGTCTCACTACTAGATCAGACTCAGTGATCCGCCTGTTTACAGCCTCCCAATAGCTGGGATTACAGGCGCGTACCACCATGGCCAGTCTCAATTGCCATCTCAGTGCGCCCCAGGGGCGGGGCTGGCACCTGGCATGGCAGGCCCCAGGATTGAGCCCCCGGCCTCTGCGCATGGACCTTTTTTTTTGGGGGGGGGGTCTTTTTGAGACAAGGAATCCCTATTGCAGTTCATGGGGCTTTAAACAAACTATGTGGCCCAGGCTGGCCTTGAACTTTCTTTGATCTTCCTGCCTCAGGGAGTGCTGGGATTATAGGCATGGGCCACTTTACCTAGCCCTGGAAGACACTGAATTAGATGTCCAGGAGAGGGCTCCAGAGCGGGCTCATGCAGAGTTAGAAAATTCTGGGTTTTTTTTTTTTTTTTTGTCTTTTTGAAACAGGGTCTCATGTGAGCTCACTTTGTAGTCCAGGCTGGTCTTAAACCCACAATGATCCTCCTGCCTCAGCCTCCCGAGTACTGAGATTACAGGCATGCACCACCATGCCCAGATTTTGTTGTTGTTGTTTTGAATATACTGGTTGTTAACAGCAAAGTGTCACCTACCTCCTGCAAGCTGAGGGGACCAGGGTATGGTGACATAGGCCTGTAATTCCAGCAACATGGGAGGCTGAGGCAGGAGGATAGTAAGTTCAAGGCCAGCCTGGGCTACATAGCAAGAGACTGTCTAAAAAAAAAAAAAAAAAAAAAAAAAAAAAAAAAAAAAAAAAAAAAAAAAGAGCAGTAGAGCCAGGGTAGGCAGGGTTCAGTCTGGCAGTGTGCTTTTCCACGCCCTGCTGTGGAGTCTCACTGGGTGGCGGGAACAGGCCCTGTCCTTGGCCAGCTCAGCCGCCCCAGGCAGGCAGCAGGAAGGATAGAATTTGAGTTCATCCAGGGTCATGCCTGGTGCCTCACATACCAGGAGGGGGGACCTGAGGGGGGCAAAGTTTGCAGAAAATAGGTCTTAATTCACTCAGGTCTCCACTTCTGTTTTGTTTTTGTTGTTTGAGACAGAGTCCTGGTCTGTATGTAGCCCACTCTGGCCTCGACCTTGCTGTGATCCTCCTGCCTCAGCCTCCGGAGTGCTGGGATAACAGGCACACCACCGTCCCCAGCTCCACTTGTGTTCTAAATACAGAGGAACTTTCCTCCACAAGCATTTCCTTTATTTCTGCAAAATGTATAGAGCCTTCTGGGTCTCATCCAGCCTTTCCTGGCTTATTGGGAACAGGATTTTGAGTAACATATAAAGAGCCTGAGAAATGGGGTCAGATACCTAGAAAATGGGGAGAAAGAGAGGCAGAGGAGAGGGAAAGAATTCCCTTGTAGCGCTGGGCTGGTCCTGGCTGTCGGGAGGCTGAGGCGGCCTCATCCATACAGCTAGACCAGTTTATCAAAAAACCAAACCGAAATAAAAAACTTCCCTTTCCAATAGGGAGGGATTCCTCAGGGCCATGACCTAGAGACACAATGGCAAGCAGCAGAAAGTGCTAGGTGCAGTTCCTGTAGGCCACTGTCCCCAGGTCAGGGCACCAGAGACTGATTCTGCCTCCTTGTCCCCAGCTCGCCCTCCCCCACCTGCGGAAGAGTCGGGGCAACATCATCAACATCTCCAGCCTGACTGGAGCCATCGGCCAGTCCCAGGCCTTGCCTTATGTTGCCACCAAGGTAGGCCAGTCCCTGCCCCTACCTTGTGTCTCTGCTGTCACTAGGTTGGTTCTGAGAAGTCCCGGAAGCTGAGATGAAGAACCTAATGAACCCTTTTATAGAAAGTTTGTAGGTTTGCTGACCCCTGAGGTGGGAAAATTTTCAGGATTCATCTGTAAGCATCTGTAAGCAGTGTGGGAAGGATTAGGCAGATTTTAAGGTGCACTCAGGAGAGGGTGCTCAGAGATCTGGGACCACCTCCTGGGACGGGGGCCATTTCTGCTTCTCAGATAGGGTGGAAGGCCCAGGCCACCCCCAGAAATGATACGGCCCACTCCACAGGTATGGGCCCAGGCTTGAGATTCTCTCAAGGGTTCCATGTTCCGCTACCTTAGGATCAGCCTTCTGCTCTGTACTTTTTCAGTTAAGCCACTATGGACTGTCGGCTTCCTGAGGAATTTGGTTGTATTAGGGCTAGTAATGAAGGAGCCCGAATGAACGCTGATGTGGTTGGCTTTGGTGACCTGGCTGCTGGACTCCCTATTGCAGTTTAGGAGGCCTTGAACAGACTATGTAGCCTAGGCTGGCCTTGAACTTGCAGCGATCTCCTGCCTCAGCCTCTGGAGAGCTGGGATTATAAGCGTGCACCACTAGGCCCAGCTACCCAATCTTTTTGTCTGTTTGTTTGAGATGGGCTCTTGAGCCACAAATGTACAACCCTCCTGCCTCAGACTTGCCCCAGCAGGCCCTGCGACAAGCCCAGACTTTTGGGTGCAAGAGGCTGGGAAATCCTACAAGGACTCCCGGAGTCACCCTGAGGCACAACTGGTGACAGTTGCTCCGACCTGTTTCTCTCAAGCCACAGAGCCTGATGCCCTTGAAAGCTGTCTTGAGGAGGGAGAGGCCTCTGCTAGGTCCCCTGCCTGTCGAGGAGGGGCATGGACGGGCCTGGTCTTCTGAACCGAGTCTGCCCCTGGCTTCTCTGCAGGGCGCAGTCACGGCCATGACTAAAGCCTTGGCCTTGGATGAGAGCAAATATGGCGTCAGAGTGAACTGGTGAGCAGCTCTGAGCAGGCGAGAGCCCCAGGCCCGCTGGGACGCTGGCTGAGCCCCGAAGCTGCATCTGTGATGCCCCCTGCCTCCCTCCCCAGTATCTCCCCAGGGAACATCTGGACCCCACTATGGGAGACACTGGCCGCCTCCTCGCCAGATCCCGAGGCTGAGATCCTGAAAGCGGTGCTGGCCCAGGTAGGCCCCAGGGAGGCCTGGGGGAGCGGCGCTGTGCAGGGGTGCCTCCTGACCCCGCTTTCCCCCTCTCTCCCCAGCCCCTGGGCCGCATGGGCCAGCCTGCCGAGGTGGGCGCTGCAGCCGTGTTCCTGGCCTCGGAGGCCACCTTCTGCACAGGCATCGAGCTCCGCCTGACGGGGGGCGCGGAGCTGGGGTACGGGAGCAAAGCCAGTCGAGACACCCCTTTGGAGGTCCCCGCGCTTTCTCCTGCCTTCCCGCGGCAGGCTCCGGCCTGTACCACCCACCCCCAGGTGCAGCCTCCTGCCCCGGAGACCTGAAGCTGGCTTGGGAAGGTCCATCACCCTGCAGCACCCCGCCCCCCAGGTTCTCATCAGAGCTGCTTGAACTTCAGCCTAGTATGGCTGTGTTTATTCCCTGCCCTCTACACGAGTCGGCCACACCTCAGGGCTTGCACCAGCGCGCGCACACCTTCGTCCGCCCTGAGGGACCCAGCGCCCTCCTGGCTTTGGCCTCATGGCAGTGCCAGTTGCTAGTGCCCGTCGCCAGGTGAAGCGTTTGGCTTCACCTGGGCGCTAATGAAAAAGCCCCCACGGGAGATAAATTAAGCGCTAATTAGGAGATAATGGAAGAGAAGCAAAAAGGCCTCTCGATTCTTGTCCCTGAGGGAAAAGGAGTTTCGAGTTCCTGGCCTGTGCAGTAAGAAGATGGCTGCCCCGAGGGAACCAAGGTTGAGACATGTGGGTCAGAGGGAGATGGGGCTGGAGCCGGGACTACTCCTGGGTTTCGGGGAGGAAGACAGGGATGCGGATCGCCGGCTGCCAAGCGTGGCTCGTGGGCTCGGGGCCCCGGCCAGCTTGGGAGGGGGGCGGGGCTGCAGGCTGACGCTGGTTGGCCCCGGCGGAGGTGTGCGGCAATCGCTGATTGGCCGAGGCAGGGGCGGGGCGGCCTGTGGGCACCGCCCCTCCGTCCCAGGCTGGGAAATGGGGGGCGGGGTACTCTGCCCCGGAGAAGAAAAACAGCAACATCTGTTGGGGGGGTGGGAGGGGATGCGTGATCTGGCCGCTCCACCCTGGCCTTTTGAGGTTGAGAACAGTAACTCTGGAACAGTATTAGTAGACATGATGAGGGGTGGAGTAGAATTTGGGGGAGAAACTCACAGAATTCTGGAGGCACAATGGCCTAGGGACACAGCAGAGATGGGATTTTAGTGTTACAATGATCCGGATGGAGAAGTCTGGGGACAGTAGGTGACTAAGGTGTCACTGTCATAGACCCAAATGACCGAGGTCAGAAAGAACTTGAAGAGTGTGATTGGCTAACTGTTCCTGGGACCCTGAATCCGTAGAGATGCTCCAGAAGGTGGTCACCAGGGACCCCTGCACCGTGGTGGGGGTCTGCTATGCGAGGCTCATGGATGAATGAGAGAAAAAAAATGGGTGGGGGGTTCAATGATGAAATGGACTAGAAAGAGGTGAACCCTGGGTGTTTTTATCTCAGGGACAAAGAACACACATCTCGATGGTAAGAAAAACTCCACATTCACACCAGATGTATCCAGATTGCAGGCAAGCTCCTCTTGCAGACCCCTCCCCCCCGTGCCGCCACTTCCCAAGGCCCCATTTCTTTGTGCATTCACTGACAGCCATTGCCAGCTCTTCCTTTTCACAGAGTCTGATAACCGGAGCTTTCTGCTCCTTGCCTCTCCGTGCCTTTTCCCGACTGCTTATTCTGGACAACCCTAGACAACAGCCTTAGTGAATAAATAAATACTACACGAAGGTTCTTGCCCGAATATGGCTGGACCAAGCAGGGGTGGGGGCTTGGCCAGTGGTTACTTTGCAGTTTCTTCCTGTTCCTGTGCATATGCTCAGCAGCAGGGCCAGAGAACTGGAGCCCGGGCAGAACCACCCCCCACCCCAGTCATCTTGCGGGAGGGGCGTGAGTAAGGCGTGGCCGGAACGTCTTTCTTCAGGCTGGGCCCCAGGCGGGCACAGTTACCCGCCGCACTAATCATGGCCGCAGCTGCACTGGGGCAGGTGGGTTCGCGGCTCAGCACCTGGGCTGGGGGGAACGCTGGGGGGAGGCGCACTTCCGGGAGGACCACTGGAGTGCAGTTCTTCCGGCTTGGCACAGCTCCCTTAGCTCTCGGGTTCCGCTGCGGGGCGCTAAGGAGGATGGTGCCCCCTCTGGGAGGGAGCACAAGGCTCTAATGGAGTGTGTGTTGGGGGTAATTGATGGGAAGGGGTCTGGGCTGGGAGGTGTGAAGTGGGAAGCTTGGAAGAGGCTATGGGGGGGAGGCATGGGGCTGGGTGGTGTGGTTGTGTTTTGGGGACCGCAGCCCTGCAGGATTAGGGAGGAGCCCTTCGTGGGCACCTCGACCCTTAGGAGCTGGCGTGGAGGAGGCGCAGAGCTTGATCTCAGGACGGACTCCAGTTCATAGTTCGTGGACCTAAAGATAGACGAAAACACATGCGGAATGTTTATGTGAAGCTTAGCACCTGGTTTAGAAATTGAGGCAGCTCCCCTCTGTCCTCAGAGGCAGGCGACAGGTCCGCCAGGCGAGTGAGGCCATCCACGAGCGCGGAAGTGATGTCCAGCAGCAGGGCTTCGGAGTAATGATTTAAGATCGCAAGCTTTCTAAGTGAGGAAGGAAACGGTTGGGGGATTACAAGCCTTTCCAGCTGCAGCACGACCTTGAGAGAAGGGTTCCTGTTTGCTTTGCACCTGACTTACCTGCGCCTCTCACCACACGCTGGTCACCACGGCTGGCTTCGCCTCTCTCTGGGTCATAGGGACTGAGTGGGAGCGTCCTGGGGCAGGGCCAGTCGGCTGGGAGAGAGAGGGTGGTGGGCTGCGGAGGGCGCAGCCCTGGGCTGTGTTGCCACAGGACTTCGACGCTGGCTGGGACAGTCTTGGGAAATGACAGGGCCACTCTGGTGTGGGATGTGACTGTCCTAGCGCTACGCAGAGTCTTGGGCTACAAATGGGGCCATTTGCAGTGTGACTGGGTCCCAGCCCTGCCTGGGCTGTCCCAGGATGCATTAGGGCGACGACAGGAGCTGTTCTGGGGTTTCATGGAACAGCATGGGTTGAGATAGGGACAGTCATGGCCACAGCAAGGACAACACCGCACTATGACAAGGAGCCTTCATGGTTGTGATGCGTGGACAGCCCTGGAGTGCAGAGGTCAGCGCTGGGCCTTGACAGGGACCCCACTAGACTCTGACGGTCACACTCATGAACTGTGTTGGAGACAGCATCCTGGGCCATATGGGACATGGAGGAGGAGCCTCCGTCGTGTTGCAGAGCTGTGGTCCCCGCACTACCTTCTTCATTTGATTGGGCCACAGACCGTTGACACTTTGTCCCCATAGTCTGCCTGCCACCAGGCATGGCTTTGGAGTATATCCTCACAGCTTGGGCTGCGGGATGATTGTGCCCTCCTTGAGGCTGTAGGAGAGCCCTGGCCTCAGAGAAGTGCCCAAGAGGATGAAGGTGGCTTTTCCATGGTCACCAGGTGCCTGTGGCCAGCGGGATTCATAATCTTCTGGGTGCCATGCTCAGCCGCATGGCACGTCCTGCCTCTCCTTTCTCCTGGGGGACTCTAAATTCTAACTCATTCTTTCTCTCTCTGTGTAGCCCAGGCTAGCCTCATGATGATCTTCCTGCTTCAGCTTCCTGAATGTTGGAATGACATGCATGCACTGTCACGTCTGGATTCTAAGTTTTTGTTTTGAGACAGGGTGTAGCTAAATCACTAAATTGCCAGAGCTGAGTTTGAGCTTGAGATCCTCCTGCCTCAGCCTCCTAGAGTGCTGGGATTATAGGGCCACCATGTCTGGCTCTGAGCTTCTCTGAGACAGTTTCTCACCCAATCTTTCCTCATTTCACTGACCTCACTTCCACTCTAGACCCTGTCATATCAGTTTTGACTACTTTCCTTCCTCCTCCTGTTCCACCTCCTGGCTTCTCTTTGTTTGTTTTTTTGTTTTGTTTTGTTTTTGTTTATTTGTTTCGGAACCAGGGATTGAACTCAGGCCCTTGCGCTTGCCAGGGAAGCGGCTTCTAATTTCTCCAGGCTTAATTTTTTTTTCCTATTTCATATTATTTTTTAATTTAATATTTATTTATTTGTGTGTGTGTGTGTGTGTGTGTGTGGCCAGCTCAGCCCACCAGGGGGCGGGGCTGGCTGGCATGTGGTGCTGGGGGATTGAACCGCGGTCCCTGTGCTTTGCTAAGCTTGTTCTAAGTAGGTGCTTTAGACCACTGAGCCATCTCACCAGCCCCTCATATTATTTTTAAATTTTTTTTTTAAAGATTCATTTATGGGGCTGGGGAGATAGCTCAGTAGAATAAGTGCCCACTTGGCAAGCGCAAGATCCTGAGTTCAATCCCAGGTACCAAAAAAAAAAAAAAAAAGATTCATTTATTTATTTGGTCCAGGATCTCGCTATGCAGCTTGGACTCATAGTGATCCTCTGTCTCAGCCTTCCTAGTGCTGGGATTATAGGTGTGCGCCACCATGCCTGGTTTCAGAGGTATCTACCCGGCCTATTTTAAATTTAAGGAGTGGGAAGATACCTCAGTTTCTTAACTGCTGACCTAGCAAGCACAATGTCCTGAGTTTGATCCCTGGTACCAAAAAAAAAAAAAAAAAAAAATTTTTTTTTTTGAGACAGGGTCCCCCTATGTAGTATAGTGTGGCCTTAAACTCACCCCAGGCTGGTCTCAAACTCAGTTTCTTTGATCTTTCTTCATCAGTCTCCCAAACCGTTCACCACCATGCCTGGCTTCTCCCCCTTTCATTTTAGCCTCTCAATTTTTTTTTTGGTTTTGTACCGGGGATTGAACTCAGGACCCCGTGCTTGCCAGGCAAATGCTGCTTCTACTGAGCTATCTCCCCAGCCCCTTAGCCTCTCAATTTATATTCCGATTCATACACCATCTCTTTACTTTGATTTGTCTTCATTTCAGCTGTGTCCTCCATTTCTGTGTTTCTGGTTCTTCTACTTCCCTCTCTGACTCCCTCTTAGTTATTTACCTTTTCTGGCTCCCTCTGCTGTCCTGGTCATGATGTGCTGGCTGCCCTAGCCTGCCTCTGTCTTCTGGCTACCATATGGAGTGGCCTGTCCCCTGCTGGGCAGATGTGTTGCCACAGGGCCAGATGGACTACCTGTCACCACCAGAGGCCATAAGGGCGGGTGGCTCCCCCTGATCATCCCAGAAGCCCCAGGTCCTATACTCCCCCCAGGCATCTCAGGCTTGGTGGCCTCAATCAAAGCTCCCCGTGACCCACCTACTTGTCACAGGGACCAGAAAGGCCATTCCTTCTCCCTCAACCTCAAGATCCAGCAGTCATCTGCAGGGCTCCGGAAAGGGACAATGTGAGGTCAAAGGTCACCGTGCTGGACACAGCCAGACCTGCTCTCCCTACCCTCCTGGGAGAGGAGAGGGACAAGGCTATCTGAGCACCATCTTGGGTGACTGCTGTGGCCCCAGGTCTCCACCAAGCTGTAGAGGGAGTGGAGTTGCTGGGCTGCTAGGGCCCGGTGCAGGGAGAGGGTGTCAGAAGGTCTAAGCCCTGGGCTCTAACAGCGGAAATCGAAGGGCTTCGGGCTCCTGGGACTGAGGCTAGAGGTTGGGGCCCACACCCTGGAATTCTGGGGGCACATGGCCTCGGCACCCCTCACTGTTCTGAGGCCAGGACTGGGACCCTCCCGAGGCCCTCACTCACCTGCACACCTTCTTGCGTCTTCATCCTCTGTCTGAGCTGCTCTCACACTGAGGCCAAAGTTCTCCGGGGTGGGAGGCGCCTGTGCTCGACTTTGCCCAGCGTGGAGGAGGGCTTGCAGTGGGGCTGGCGCTTTCGAGGGATGAGGGATGACCCTGTGGGACCGCAGGGAGGGCTGGCCGGGCACATGCTCTAGAATGCACTAGGGTTGCAACACTGGCCCCAAGGAACCCCTGAGTGGGGGAGGGGAGAAGGCACGCGCGCGTGTGTGTGTGTGTGTGTGTGTGTGTGTGTGTGTCTGTCTGTCTGTCTGTCTGTCTGTCTGTCCTGGCTCCCTGGCTCCTCCATTGGCTACAACACCTCCCCTGTTGCTCTCTCCATTCAGATATGGGCCCGAAAACTTCTCCCTGTTCCTTGGCTTCTGTGTGGTCCCAGGAGATGTGCTTCTTCCAACTTCAAGGTGAAGCAGGGCACTGGACACCGGGTCTGAGGGAGGAGGCCAGGCCAGGACTCCCCGGTCTGAGTAGGGAGTTGCTGGCAGCTGGATTTGGGGATCTTTAAGTTTCATGTCCCAAAGTAAAGGTGGACGGCAGGGTGGTATAATAACCTGCCATCAGGCTGGCTGTGGCAAAGCATGGAGCATCTTCCCAGAGGCCTCTGGGGTATCCTGGCCTTCTGTGTGGGTCTGAGATCCCAGTGCCCAGTGGGAGCTGTAGTTTTTCAGTTTAGAGACTAGGCAGCCCACAGGACGCCTGAGTGTCCCATCTTTTTCAGGCTGCAGACTTGCAAATGCAGATGACACAAGAGCCACAAAAGAAGCCCAGCCCCAGCGAGCCCCTGATGTTTGGGAAGATGTTTACTGACCACATGCTGATGGTGGAGTGGAGCGGGGCGAAAGGCTGGGGCCAGCCCCGGATCCAGCCCTTCCAGAACCTCACGCTGCACCCGGCCTGCTCCGCTCTCCACTACTCGCTGCAGGTGGCTGATCTCTGTCCATTTTCTCCTTGCCGTGTCTCTTGATAAGTGTACCCTGGACCTGGTGTCTGTGTGTCTGTCAGTCAGTCACTCTCCTTTCTTCCTCTTCTCTTGCTCCTCCTCCTCCGTGTGTGTGTGTGTGTGTGTGTGTGTGTGTGTGTGTGTGTGTATTCCAGGAATCAAACTCAGGACCTTGTGCTTGCCAGGCAGCCACCGAGCTATATGCTCCAGCCCTTCTTTTTTGAGACAGTGTCTTGCTATGTAGTTCAGGCTAGCTTTAAATTCACTGTGTAGCTCAGGCTGACCGTGGAGTCTTAGAAACCCACCTGCCTCAGCCTCCTAAATGCTGGGATTACAGCCAGGAGCCACCACAGCTGACTCGGTCTCTTTCCCATACATTTATCATCTGTGTTCCGAGGCCTCCCATGCTCTGGGCCCTGGTGCTGGGCAGTGTGTGGCCCTCACAGACTCAGGTCCTT